AGTTGATGAGATTTCAACCAATGCTCAGTAATACACAAAATGTCAACATTATTACAATTCAAAAATAACTCTATTTCTAGTTCCTTGCTCATAAAACCTTGAATTTTTTGGTGTACCAGATTTATAACACTACTGTTTGATTTGCAAGAGGTTCCCTCTATTGTCTTCCCCATGCGAATTGTATCTCCCAGCAAACTCAGATCTTCAGAGCAAATGGTATCTTCATTGCAGTTAATTGTTTTAGTTCTCATCGTGATGCTGCTTTCACCTGTTGGTGTACTTAGGTTTTGAATATAATCGGGGTCTCTCGGGGTTCTTATAGGGGTGTCTGCGTTTCCCGTTTTTGGTATTTGACATAGGCAAGTCTGACATTTCCACGTTTTTTTGTGTTCCAGAGTCATTGCTTTTGAATAATACTCCCTGGTCATTCCAGCACACTCCAGATCGTATCTGCATTTACATAATGAACAAGTTAGGTTTTCCCTTATAGGTACTTTTTGTTGACATCCTGCACATAGGGGTGCTGGCGCCATCTTGTGGAATGTACGCACCGTACTGATTCTGTTCGTATGTCGCAACTAATTCCAACTTTATTTTCGTCAATGAATTCTATTTTATTTTTGTCCAGTCTTTTTCGATGCGTTTAATGTTATGATGTTAACAAATTCAATGTTTATTATTTATTAAACTATGTGAACATTTACAAAAAGAGTAATCGCTTCACTGTTGGGCTCGAACGCGCCATTCAGCGCTCTCAAAGCGACCGCACTTTCGATCTTGCCATCAGTGTAATCAACTAGTGTTTTGAATTAGTGAGCCATGTTCTTCGTATATTTTAAAGGGAAAAAATCGCTAACACCGTCTTTTTTTTGTAATTAAGTTGGGTTGATGCAAGACAAAGTTTTTTATTTGTTTTTTTTTTTTTGTATTATTTTGTCGGTCAAATATGAATGTTTCAAAGTCTTTTATTTATTATTCACTTAAGATTTCGCAAGTATTGTCCCACTTTACACTTTTTTTTTCACTTCCAAGTTTTCCAGATTAATGTAGTTATTGTTATAGTTTTATGTTTTTAACTTTTCAGTTTAGGCACAAAACTCCTGTATAACACGAGCACTGAGTAATCCGATAATGTTTTAGCTATTCGTTCATTTTTATTCACTTTAGCACACTTTTTGTATACCTAAAAAATATATTTTCACGGAGCGTTTAAAATTACGTACACTAAGGTGCAGCGCCACCTAGCGGAGCGGATTTATTTATTATTATTTATTTATTTAATAATAAAGGTACATGATATGCCTTACAATCTAACGCCATGTGCAACAAAATTATATATAAATAGTTTGACTGTTAGATCTTCTATATTTGTTTTAAATTACTATTTATTTTAAATTCCGGCCAGATAGTAAAAAACGGCCGGATAAGCCGGATAGTATCCGAATATTTGGTGCATCTCTAATGAGAACATTCGTTAAATACTAATTACTAAACACGTATGAATTGTAAAAAACTAAATTCATATAAGAACGTTGTGTAGTAGCACTGAGAAGGGATCTCATAAATCTCTACGTGGCGGCCCGGGGGCCAAGACTTCTCATGCATGAGGCTCCCTAATGCGAGAAGTGGGCAACCGCGGGCGGGTTCGAAACCTACCAACAGCAAGTATCAATGTGACTTTTTCCGAGTTATATGTACCTACTTTCTAAGATTATTTAGACACCACTGACAAACGGTGAAGGAAAACATCGTGAGGAAACCTGGACTTACAATTTCTAATTATAAGTTTTGAAATCGCCAACCCGCATTGAGCAAGCGTGATGATTAATGCTCAAATGTTCTCCGTGTGAGAAGAGCCCTTTGGTCAGCACTGGGTACTAATAGGCTGTTGATGATGAAATCTCTAAAAATGAAGTTACTTACGAGAAGCATTGATAGCCAATAGTATATGTCCGTACTGCTCCCTGATTGGGTAGTCCCAGACCCTGTACTGCGCCTGATCCGACGTGGCATTCAACGTTATTTCTTTCCAAACCCTAGACAATAAACAGTAATGTTATTTAACTCGTCGAGTACCGGTTTTGTAGACACAATTATAGAACAATAGGTTGCGGTCACCGGTGACCGCTTGGTGTTTGACAGTTTAATAGACCAACTAGGCAGCTAGTTGGTCTCAAGTTCGATTACCGAACCGGACAAAGTAATAATGGGATATTTTACTATTTTCAAAAATTTAGGAATAGCACGTAAAGTAAGTGGTTAATAACATAACATCACACCTTTTATCCCCTAAGGGGTTTTTTTAAGTGAGGAAAATCATCGAATGGCAGCTCCCGCCTGCGTGAGGCGGGAGGGAGTGTCAGACTCTTACTGACTAAAAACCACCCCGTTCCTTCTCCTGCACGTCGAGTCGGAGCCCCGGTAACTCGTTAGGTAACACCCATTTTCAACTTTTCGTCATATACTGGCCACAAATCCAGACGCCGTGTTACTACTGAGATTTTTTTTAAAAACTCTATAATACTTTGCCTGACCCGGGAATCGAACCCGAAACCCCTTGACTAGCAGTCGCACTTGCGATCACTCGGCCGACGAGGCTGTCAGATAGTTAATAGTAGATGGAAAACAGTTCTAAGGTAGTAGGTAGTTTATGTTAGACGTAACACCAAAAAATGTCGCGGAGAACCTAACGGGTTGCCGGGGCTCCGGCTCGACGTACAGGAGAAGGAACGGGGTGGTTTTTAGTCAGTAAGAGTCTGACACTCCCTCCCGCCTCACCCAGGCGGGAGCAGTCATTCGATGATTTTCCCCCCTTAAAAAAAACACCAAAAAATGTCGGTATCGTTCCCAACTTCGTAAGAATCTTTCCAAAATCTTTTAAAATGGGACAAGGTATGAGAATTAAAAATATAATTAGTCCGTAAGTTAGGTAATGAAAAAATATTTGACACGTATATTTTTTATTTTGTCGTATAATAAAGCAATACTTAGATAAAACGAATCAAAGTTTAGGAGTGGGGGCTAAAACGTCATTTCTACGTATAAAATGTACATAGAAGTGACGTCACGCGACATTTCAAATCAATGTATCGTCGAAAGTATTCGTTTCTGTACGAAAATAAAATATACATGTCTAATGATTTAAAATAATCTACCAAACGGACATTAAAATAAAAATTAGGCATCTACCCTATTCACCTGTAAAGAGTATCCTCCGCAAACTTCATATTGACGAAGTATTGATGCACGGATGAGCCTTCCACGACCGTGTAGTTGATGCGGGACTGTCGAGCTAACTGCTCCAAGGAGGAGACTGGTGTCTGAGAATATGAAAGTAGTCAGACATAAGTATGAAACTAAGTGAACATTCGATTATCACTACATAGTATAAAACAAAGTCGCTGTCCACCGTCTGTCTGTCCCTATGTATGCTTCTATCTTTAAAACTACGCAACGGATTTTGATGCAGTTTTTTTTAATAGGTAGAGTGATTCTTAAGGAAGGTTTATAATTTGTAATACATGTCATATTGCATCCGTGTGAAGCCGGGGCGGGTCACTTGTATACTCCATATAAAATACATCATAGATCAGCCACACTCGGTCCACTGCCTCACAGACTACTTTCCAATGACTTCCACAGTTCCACATGAGTTTGTTGGAGCGAGCATCCAGCAGGTATCGGCGACCTTTATGATTTCATCAGTCCACTTTGCAGTTCTCCAGACCTGACAGCGACCCTCAACCCGACTTCAAAAATTATGCAATTATGGTTTAAATAACAGAGAGTACTTTGACGGTACGGTTGGCGCGGTGACTGGGCAACTGTCTGCCGCGCAACGTGTAGCAGGTTCGATTTCCGTACGGAAAAATTATTTGTGTTTTCCACAGATTGTTGTTTTGGAACTGGGTGTCATGTGTATGTGAACTTAAATGTATAATGAATAAACTTAGGTTTGTAAATGCACCCACGACACAGGAGAAAATCCTAGTGTGGAGCAAAGTTTAAATAAAATGTATAGTTCCCTAAGATCGGAAAAGAAGGATCCTCCGACCAGGCGATCGTGCCTGGCGGGCTTTCTGCCCAACAGTTGCCTCTGTAATTTTCTCTCCGTCCCCGACTGGGGGCGGAAGGTCGCACGAACCAGGCCGATGCCTGTTTCGATGGTGTCCGGTCGCTGCCTGCGATAGCAGCCGAGGGGTTGGAGTAGTCGGGCCCGAGTAGTTGGAGTACCGAGCTTTTAACGGCGCGGGCCCAACAGTTATTCGTTGGGATTTTCTATGCGTGTTAATTCGCATGTAAACTTCACATGACCTTTGGTTAACCATCTGGATCTGGCGGCACGGCAGTGCCTCCGCCAAGTTGAGCGCGAAGCAAACAGAAGTTCCTTTACTGGAAACCATTTCGCCAAATTTTCAGGCCGGCCAGAGATTCTTAAATAGAAGAATCTCTGGATAAGACCAGAACGCACTTGGAAAACGTGGTGTTACCCTACAACGGCAAAGTCACACAAAATTAACTATAATAATAACGAACGAAACTTGGCTAGTTATTTACAGAATGTTTTTTGTGGGATGTCTTCTTGCTGAACCGTCCCCCTTAATTATGCGATGTTCAAAAGTGACTATTTTCAGAACTGTGATTTTTTATAGATCTGGAAGTCTTTGGAAGAGGCGTATGTTCAGGAGTGGACGTCTTGTGGCTGATATGATGATGATGATGATGATGATGATGATGATGATGATGAAAGGTTGCCTGAAAGAAATCGCCGCGTGTGATAAGACCGCCCATTGTACTCAAATTACTATTGCAATGTTTACAATTTTTTTCTGTGTGTGCAATAAAGTATAAATAAATAAATAAATAAAATGATTATAAAAGCATCGAACGAGTACGACAATACAAGTATCTCGGTGCTTGGGTAAATGAAGTATGGGAATCAGATCAAGAAATTAAGACCCGGATAGAAATTGCCCGAGCATCTTTTAACAAAATGAGGAAAGTTCTGTGTTGTCGTCAAATAAACATTAAGCTCAGAGTTAGGTTACTCTTCTGCTACATCTGGCCTCTAGTCATGTACGGATGTGAAGCATGGACCGTGAAGGAGGACACTACGAGACGTATAAATGCATTCGAGATGTGGTGTTACCGTCGTATGCTCCGAATCAGCTGGACACAAAGGGTCAGCAACGAATCCGTGCTACAGCGCGTCCAAATGACCCGGAAAATTATGCTGACCATCAAAAAGCGAAAAATCGAATATCTCGGTCACGTGCTTAGACACGATAGATATTCACTGCTTCAACTGATCATGATGGGCAAAGTGGAGGGGAAGAGACGTGCTGGGCGCAGAAGAAAATCGTGGCTGCGAAACATCCGGGAGTGGACCGGCATTACATCTGTTGAACAATTGTTCCGCATGGCTACCGACAAGGAGAAATACAAGAAGCTGACGGCCGACCTTCAACATTGAAGAGGCACTATAAGAAGAAGAAGAAGAATAAAAGCATCACCTGCATCCTCTCCACAGTCAAGAAGGCAGCCAGGTTAGCAGTGAATGTAGCCAACATCAGCACCACAAACAGCCAGTAAGCAGCTACAAGTGTTCTTCCAGATAACGCTTTTGGAGCCTCCCCACCGCCTTGTGGAGTGAATGAGGTTAGGGCAAACCAAAAGCTTTCTTTGAGGGTGAATTCCCTGAAAATGTAATAAGAATATTACGTCATATGGAATAATAATGTGACTTATATTTACTCACATCTGTAAAAAGATATACAACATAAATAAAAAATAATAGCTCTCTGAAGGTAAAAATTTCAGAAATGTTACAATAGCCATCAAAAATGACAATAGTCAAAGCAGTCAATAAAAACCTGAACAGTCCCGAAAAAAGATATAGAAGCCGTAAAAGCCACCACAGTCAACAAAAGTGCTAACAGTCAATAAATCCACTATAATCATGGAAACCCACAACTTTCAAGAAAAGTCAATAATAGTTTCAGCAGTCAAAAATTCAATTTAAGTCACAGAAGTCCTTTTAAAAAATAAAAAATAGTAAAATAACCACTACAGTCAAAAAATCCACAACAGTAAGAAAGTGACCACAGTTAGCCACAACAGTCATAAAAAGCGACAATAGTCACAAAAAGTCACAACAGTCATAAAAAGCGACAATAGTCACAAAAAGCCCCAAAATGACAAAAAGCCACAACAGTAAAAAAGCCACTACCATCAACAATGCTAAAAACGTCAAATTACCTGCACGGATACGGGTATGCATCAGGATTGTTTCTAGCGGAATATGGAGAATATTTGTCGAGCAACCAGATCATAAAGCCAGTCAGGACAAGTGCAGCCACGATGCTTAACCATACCTCTGTCCGGAGTACTGTCATGAATTTAAAGAGCGATGTTTTTCTTATGGGTTTTCGTATAACTGCGAAATGAGAGTACATTATTATAATTACATAACATAACATCACGCCTTTTTATCCCCGAAAGGGTAGACAGAGGTGCACGTTTCGGCACTTAATGCCACTGTACAATGTAACACCCACTTTTCACTATTTATGTTATGAGTCCCATGTAATAAGGAGTGATTTCCAGACTCCGTGCTACTACTAAGATTTTTAAAAACCCAGTAGGTAATACTTTGCCCGAACCGGGAATCGAACCCACTCGGCCAACGAGGCAGTCAGTTATTATAATTATTGTACAGTTAATCTTTGAAACATGTGTGTTTTTATGACATAAGCCGGTAAACGAGCAGACGAATCACCTGATGGTAAGCAATAGACGCCGCCCTGACACCTGGAACACCAGAGGCGTTACAAGTGCGTTACCGGCCTTGGGGATTAGGAATTTGAAGATTTTTGTGGATTCAGGGATTGGGGAAGGGGAGTGGGGGCTTGTATTAATTGGGCTTGTTTTGCCACGGGAAATAACGAAATAGATTTTACGGAGTATTGTCAATTGGGAGTACTTATAACTTTGAAAAAGACCCATTGATATTTGCAAGGTAACGAACAAATACTCTTAAGGTTGCGAAACTATCAGGGCCACCGTACACTTAATAAATAGGGTAGATGCCTAATTTTTATTTTAATGTCCATCTGGTATATTATTTTAAATCATTAGATACGTATTTTTTATTTTTTTACAGAAACGAATACTTTCGACGATATATTGATTTGAAATATCACGTGACGTCACTTCTACATAGAAGGGCTACAGCGCCATTTCTACGTAACAATCTACGATACGTAGAAATGACGTTTTAGCCCCCACTTCTTTACGTGTATAATTTTCTTTTCATTACCTAACTGACGGACTAATTAGAATTTTATTTTTCATACCCCGTCATCATCCCAATTCAGTACTTACCTATCAAAATACCAGTTTGTTCAAAGTAGGGAGCCACGAAATCTATAACTTCCTCCCTTTCTGCTGTCATTGTAAGAGCTGAAATCGCTATGTCGGTTTCCTGCAAACACAAAGCAAAAGATGGTGATAACCTTGATACTGATAGACAAATGGTTAAAACACTTTATTGTTTTTATCCGAATTGTTGTATCTAGGTTAATTAGTCATAGAATAGAATAGAATAGAATAGATCATTTATTTGCTATGAATGTAGGTACAAATTATTAGGTGTTACAAAATTTTAAGGTTCCTTGTACATTCTACCTTAATTGGCATGCAAATATACATTTTAAAATAATTTATCAAAACTTATCATCCAAGAACTCTTGTACTGAATAATAACACTTGTGCAAAAGTAATTCTGTAACATGCTTCTTAAATTTAGTTAGTGATTGTTCCTTGATATTATTCGGTAACTTATTATAAACAAGTGGTGCCATACAAATAACACTTTTCCTTAAAAGAGCAGTTTTAAAAACACCCGTGCTTAAAAGATTTTTGTATTGAGATCTAATGCTTATTGTTCTATTTCGAGTTTCTTTCAAGGTGGTGAACAAGTGCGAATTTGTTTTAACAAATAGACATAATTCCAGTATATAAAGACATGGGAAGGTTAACAGTTTATGAGACTGAAATATAGGTAGACAGCTGTCAGTTACTTTTAGGTCAAACATAGCTCTAATGCATCGTTTTTGAGCTTTAAAAATACTTTCTTTCTCGCCACAATTGCCCCAGAATATTACGCCGAACCTTAACAGTGAAATAACTAGTCCGTGGTAGGCGACCAACACGCTTGATATATCCACCTTTTTGGACAAATTGTGCAGCATGTAAGCAGATGTACTCAATCTCTTACATATACTGTCTGCTTGAGCCTTCCATGTGAGTTGGCTATCAATTAATATTCCCAAAAATTTTGCAACGTCCACTGTGCCGACAGCTTGACCATTATGGTTTATATCCATGTTATTAGGGGGGATTCTTTGGTAAAAATGCATGACTTTAGTCTTTTGAAGATTAATTATTAGATTATTTGAATTAAGCCAATTTATTAGAGAACTGAGTGTATTATAAATATCTTGTTCATAATTTTGTTTATGGGTACACTTTATTAAAGATGTGCTGTCATCTGCAAATAATACCATTGGATTTGGTGTTTGGCGTAGAGAGCCGAGCAGAGCGGGTGAAACCGCACGGGAGTTGCTTTTTTTATGGCATAAGCCGGTAAACGAGCAGACGGATCACCTGATGGTAAGCAATCGGCGTCGCACATGGACACCCGGAACAGCAAGGCCGTTTAAGTGTGGGAGAGCCATGCTTCGGCGTGAATGGGTCGGCTCGACCGGAGTGATACCACGGCCGAGCAGAAAACCGACGTGAAGCAACGCTTGCGTTGTGTTTCGTCATGTGAGTGAGGTTACCGGAGGCCCAATTACCCTCCCCTTCCCCAATCTCCCCAATTTCTGAATTCCCAACGATCCTCAAACTCCTAATCCCCAAAAGGCCGGTAACGCACTTGTAATGCCTTTGGTGTTCCAGGTGTCCATGGGCGACGCCGATTGCTTACCATCAGGTGATCCGTCTGCTCGTTTACCGGCTTATGCCATAAAAAGGCATTACAAGTGCTTTACCGGCCTACTGGGAGTTGGGAATTTGAGGATTGTGGAGGATTCATAGGTTGGGAAGACTGGGTGTTGTCTGTAATTGGGCCTCAGGTAACCTCACTCACACGACGAAACACAACACAAGCTAAGCTTGTTATTTATTACAAGACAAGAATGGGTACTTACTCCTCTCATGAGATCGCCAACGACTCCATCCCACGTTCCATTCGGCAGTTTCTTTCCAAAATCACCAGTTTTTGGTGATACTATCTCATAATCAAAAGACATTGTCTGAAATAGAATAGGGATGATGACAGGGTATGAAAATTAAAAATCTAATTAGTTCGTAAGTTAGGTAATGCAAAAATATTAGACACGTATTCTTTTTTATTTTGTCGTAAAATTAAACAATACTTAGATAAAACGAATCAAAGTTTAGGAGTGGGGGCTAAAACGTCATTTCTACGTATAAAATGTACATAGAAGTGACGTCACGCGACATTTTAAATCGTTAGGTATATTATCGTCGAAAGTATTCGTTTCTGTAAGAAAATAAAAAATACGTGTCTAATGATTTAAAATAATCTACCAGACGGACATTAAAATAAAAATTAGGCATCTCCCTATTGTAATGAAGTTGAATTCCGTCTCTTCGGTCTAAGTGCGACTGCCAATTATAAGTTTTTAAGTTCGATGTCAAGATCAAAAGCAAAAAAAGAGTAAATGACGTGAGTGCAATAGTGGTATTGCACTCACGTCATTTACTACATTGTCTCGTTGATCGAGTGATAGCTAGCACGAATACCAATCAAAAGGCAGGCAACGTACCTACTAGGATATATGCAAATTTGTCAATTATTGTTAGGCTTTTTCGATTTACTAAAATCCTCGAACTCTTTGGTAACCTCACTCACATGACGAAACACAACGCAAGCATTGTTTCACGTCGGTCTTCTGCTCGGCCGTGGTATCACTCCGGCCGAGCTGGACCATTTGTGCCGAAGCATGGTTCTCCCACACAAATACGGCCGCCTCAACGTGACCAGGACCGCTATTACCAGTGTGAATCGACAGAGAAAAAGACCTCAGTATCCTTCTTCAATGAATTTAAGGCGTATTATCTTAAACTGTCAAACACCAAGCGGTCCCCGGTGACCGCAACCTATTGTTTTATAATTGTGTCTACAAAACCGGTACTCGACGAGTTAATTATTATACCTCAGACAATCTAGCGATGAGATCGATGCAGTATCCCTCATACAACGGCTGGCCGTCTTCGTTGTACATCTGTTCTCCAGTCTTTGGGTCTAACTTCATCAGGGTCCATGGAACAGCCTGGTGGATAAACCAAGAATTACATCATCACAATAGTCATTGTACTGCAGGGTTGACACGGTGGCTGGGTAAGTGGCTGCCGCGCAACGTGTAGCGGGTTCAATTCCCGCACGGAGCAGCTCGTTCTGTAATCCACAACTTGTGGACTTGTATGTTTGCTAACGCACCCACGACACAGGAGAAAGGATCTCCTGTTGTGGGGCAAGGTTTTTTTGAAAATAAGCAAAGGCAGATAGAAGACCTCCACGACTCTCTTATAAGACGAGACAATCACAAATTGCGATATATGTTCTGATAGGACAGCTTAGGAAACATGATGTTACTATGTCAAGCACAAAAATTTAGATCATGTTTACCCATTACTCGTTGTCAGTTCACAGTTCTAGAACAAATCCAAGTCCAATATTAAAAACTGATTAAGCTTGAAGAAGAACTCACTAGCAGTTTTTTGGCTCTTATTTCTGCAGTTGTATCCTAATGCCTTTTAGCGCTTGTCTACATGTAGAATAGAAAACCAAATTATTTGGGATTGACGTAAATTTTGACACTTGTCAGTGTTATCCCCATACATTTTGATTTCTACTCTCTCTGTAGACAAGCGCTAAAGTGGCGTTTGACTTAATAACCTTAGCTACGTTTTTTCCTATGCCCCTTACCGTTACTGAATTCTAAACCCTTCGGAAAACGTGTGATAACCCCACACCCCGTTCCTACTCCTGCACTTCGAGCTGGAGCCCCGGCAACCCGTTAAGTGCTCCGCGGCTCTGTATCGGCATCAGCCCTATTAGGCCCCATCTGTGGTGGTCTGATGGCTCTTTGAGATGTGCGCGGAAAATATCATAATACTAGCTTCTGCCCGCGACTTCGTACGCGCAATCCCGTTTCTCCCATTCCCGTAGGATTTGCAGGACTTTTTTCTGTCATAAGAATCGTCTCCTGACGAAACACAACAAAAAAAATCTGCCAAATCGGTCCAGCCCTTCTCAAGTTATGGCGTGACAACGGGAAACGGGTTTCATTTATATATATACACTAGCGGACCCAACAGACGTTGTCCTGTATATCCACTTGAATGTATAAACAAAAATTCATTCAAATTAGTTCAGCTGTTTAGGATAAATAACCTAAACATCGACTGCAGCGCCATCTGCCGGGCTGAATTGTACACATAAAAAAATTCATCAAAATCGGTCTAGTCGTTTGAGAGAAGTTCAGTGACATACACACTCACAGAAGAATTATATAAAGATAATATCATAACTCACAGGTGCAGTTCCAATTCTAAAGAACATCCTCAGTGGTTCCAGTTCGATGCCAGGCAGAAGCTTGTAGTTTTCATCAGCAGACCAGGTCGCTATGACCTGCTGACCGTCTTCTGGTTTGTATATGGAGAGTACGAAGCGGGAGCGGAGGAAAAGACCAGACCTGTTTGGAAGAAGGTCGTTGGTTATAAATTTAAAATGGTCTACTTAAAAGACTGCATAGTTAGCTAAGTATTTTGGCAAAGTGACGGTTTCGCAATGTGTCTTTGGTTTTTTATAACAATACGATAGTTTCCTAAATTTTATTTTAATGTCTGTCTGGTACATTAATTTAAAACATTAGACACGTATTTTTTCTTTTCTCACAAAATTAAATACTTTCGACGATATATTAATTTGAAATATCGTGTGACGTCACAGCGTGCCACATTTTGTACCCACTCCTAAACTTAGCGCCATTTTATTTAAGTATTGTAACTTAACACGAGAAATTAAAAAAATACGTGTCTAATATTTTTTCATTATCTAACTGACGGACTAATTAGATTTTTAATTTTGATGCCCTGGAAACTACCCAATTATTTGTGTAATCTACAGATAGTTGTTCCAGATCTGGGTGTGATGTGTGTGTGAAAATAACAGAACATAACATCACGCCTTTTATCCCCGAAGGGCAGTGGCGTGCAGTCCATATAGGCGAAAAGGCATTGCCTACCTATAAATATCGTGAATATATAACATACATATAATGTACAAACGCGTTTATTAAAATTCAATAATATAATAAAAGTTTGTAAAAAAACGGCTAACATAAATACGCGCCTTTGTAAAGTAATGAATGCGCCCCGCACGCACCACGCATGCGCCACTATTCCTTAAATCTTGGTTGGCAGTAGTGACGTCACAAAAGAAATGTACCAAAAGTATGCACCGCGCATGCGTGAAGTTCACGACCATAGTCACGGTACAGAATAACCATTCATAATTATATTACGCGATTCCTGTTGATTGACAAAATGTTTGCAACTAAAAAATTAGAGGACCGTTCGTTCATCACTTGGAAAACGATCGTATTTTATTAAGAATTCTAAATACAATAAAACAACAACAAGTTATTGTATTTTTAAAAACAATTAAATCATAAAAGGATTTAAATTGATAAAATTTGTATGTATATCGTAAAGTACTGATGAATGGAGTACACCAGCGCCATCTATTGAATTTTTTGTTGAAACTTCTGAACTCGTTCGATATAATGCGAATGTATTTTTATAAATGCGTATTTAACAAATATTTTTCAAGTGTTTTAATTAAAGTTTAACATTTTTACGCGTTGTCGGTTTATAGAAATTTTAAACGAGGAGTTGACTTTATTATTATAAAAGTTAAAAGGAAGTTATTGATACGTCAAGATGGCGCCATTTACAACGTTTCAAATTATATGAATGAATGTTTTTTAGTATGAAATATTGGTTTAAGACGATGATGCAATTTCATTTGACTTACTAAATTAACGTTTGTTTTTTTGAAATTAAACGCTGCGTTACCTTAATTTTTAAGCTACATTTTTTTTATAATAAACACTCAATTGACTATTGGTAATGACTTCAATTCATTTCCAATGTTTTCGGCCATATTGTTTTCATGTGATGTGCGATCGCTTTGTTTATGTTTTCGTTTAAATTATTAGGAATTAGTTTTAAACATAAAGTTGCATAAATGTGTAGTAGTAGTTAAATATATGTGTAGGTTTTTCAAATAGTGTATTTGTTTCTCAGTTTCTAGTACAAGTACCTATATTATTCGATTGTGAAGTGTGTGTGAATAATAGGTAATTTTATGTGTTTGTTGAAAGTAAAAACAGTAAGATTTCGCAATGTCCTTTATCGGACTAGATTCAGGTAATGACCATAGGCAGAGGTGTACTCGAGTTACGAGAATTGACCCAAGTAAAAGGTAGGTAATGTAAATATGTACTATAATGGATCTTTTATTTGATTTTCTTGTTTATTGTTTGATAATTCTTAAAAATATCAACTTAGACTTCGGGTTGTACTGATTCACATATTAATTTATTATTAATATTTATGTAATGTAGTAATAACAAATGTACCGCATAGACTCGGCCGGCTCGGCCACAGCCGGCCGCGCTTGTTATTGTTTTGTTTGTTGACATAATGTAGGTACCTACGCTCTTAAATTCGTAATATATTATGATTTTGACCAGATTGATTAACCTTAACAATTCCATAATGAAATTTGGTTCATCAAATTTATGCTTCATTATTAAAATAAATAATAGATCTTTCATTATTTGTAAGTTTTGTTGGCTTATTCAATAGCTGATGAAGTACTTCACAAAAAATACGCGAGATGTCAGTGTATGTAATTTGGCGAAACAATACACCACAATATTCTTGAACGCACTTTTCAAAATATATTATGTACATGTACCTATCTTGTGTGAGCATGATTGTATGACCGGCGGGGGGGAGGGGTTTAATCATACGATATTTAGTTGCCTACCCTGTCTCGAAAACCTGTGCACGCCACTGCCGAAGGGATAGGCAGAGGTGCATATTACGGCACTTAAAGCCACTGTACAATGTAACACCCACTTTTCACTATTAATGTTATGAGCCATATACCGGGACAATTGCAGACTCCGTGCTACCACTGAGAATTACTACCGAGTATAACTTTGCCCGACCCGGGAATCGAACCCGAGACCCCTTGCACGGCAGTCGCAACGACCACTCGGCCAACGAGGCAGGCAGAATAGAAGACGTGGCGTTTTAATATGATACTGACCGATCACCATCCCAAAAGAATAAAGTCTCATTGCTGATCTCCGAGTCCTCAGCGAATTGCCTGAACAGGCGATCCCTGGTGACGTTCATTGAGGACTGTGGTTCCTCACATAGTATGGAGGATGTCGTAAAAGGCAGGTCTCCTTCTAATTTGGAATACGTCTCTGATAGGTAGAGTATTAAGGAGTTGATTATGTATTGTTTTCTCTGTAATAAAAGCCAAAGTATTTGAATACCAAACGATATAAAATTATGTTGCACTACTAGCTTTTACCCGCGGCATTTGCCTGCATATTCCTGTTTTATCCCGTAGGAACATTTAATCGGGATAAATGTATCCTGTCACCTAAGTGAAGTCAGCCCATACCCTGTCTGTATAACTAATCTCATCAAAATCCGTTCAGTAGTTTCAGCGTGATTGACTGACAAACATCCGAACAAAGAAACTATTCACATATAGAAATATTACTAGCTACTTCCGCGCGGTTTCACACGCTCTTTTCGATGATATATTGATTTGTAATATCGCGTGACGTCACTTCTATGTACATTTTATACGTAGAAATGACGTTTTAGCCCCCACTCCTAAACTTTGATTCGTTTTATCTAAGTATCATTTTATTATACGACAAAATAAAAAATAAGTGTCTAATATTTTTTTTTCATTACCTAACTGACGGACTAATTAGATATTTAATTTTCATACCCTCAAAATCATCATCCCTATTGTTGAAAATCGGTACCATCCTAGAAATTTATTTTTGCAGTCTTAGAAGTTCTACTACAACAAATTACCAAAATGTTACCTGAAAATCAGAAGGACAGTTGCACTCATCCTTTCTCAGCAGCTTACAGCACTCCACTGGGTCTGACTGAAGGATTACAGTCGGTAGAACTAGTTGGCCGACCTCCACTGAGGAGTAGTCAGTCAGGATCAGGTTCCAGCGGTAATTGCGCCGGACTAGCTTCTCTTTGACTGCCTGTTATGGGAAAACATAATAATTTCGACAACATCTTTAGTACCTACACTGGGCAGATATTTGTTACTAGTTGTTCAATACGATTAGACTGCCTTCTAGTGGCGAATAGCGGAAACCAACCTACGGCATTAACATCGTGCAATCGTACCGCGAGTGGCAGCTCCGTCCTACCTAAGTTTCGAACCAGCAGCTGTGGCCAATTGCCATTTAGCGCTTGTCTACATGTAGAATAGAAAACCAAATTAAATGGAATTGACGGAAATTTTGACACTTGTCAGTGTCATCCCCATACATTTTGATTTCTACTCTCTCTGTAGACAAGCGCTAAAGCGGCGTTTGGCTAAAGGCCTATGTTCGAAACTAGTAGAGCTTTTCTCAGAGAGCAGCGTGGGCGGTTGCGGCAACGTCGGGCAGACTACAAGCAGTCTTTTCTCAGTGAGTTAAGTGAGGGAGCCATGCTTCGGCACGAATGGACCGGCTCGACCGGAGTGATACCACGGCCGATTACCGAGCCATTTTAGTCAAATTTTCGTGGTGCGTGGCGACTAGGCTTCACCCAGTTGTACAGACTCTTTTCTTTGTGGCTTTAGGCTTAATCCACTCTGTGTCCTGCAGTAATTCAGTAATAAACGTCGTTGCGGGAACCCAGATAGTTATTTATGTCCCTAGGACACGCCGGACTTCAGTGTTCCGGTGTTTTCATGGTTGTATTTACTGTAGATCCTGGCTTACAGGAGTTGCAGCGGTTTTGGGAGGTTGTGGCGGGCTTGTCTCATTAAAACAAAAACCACGGCCGAGCATAAGACCGACCGCGTTGTGTTTTGTCATGTGTGTGAGATTACCAGAGACCTAATTACCCCCACCCCCCTTTCTCCAATCCCTGAATCCCCAACAATCCTCAAATTCCTTATCCCAAATGGTCAGTAACGTTCCAGGGAACACTAGAGGCGTTACAAGTGCGTTACCAAGTGCGCCCACGGACTTGCACACCTGTGTCCAAGTCCGTGGGCGACGACAACAAGGTCACAAGGTCTGTATAATGCGGGAGCTGATTGCTTACCATCAGGTGATCTGTCTGCTTATTTTCCAGGCTATTCCATATAAATAATTTGAATTAAAACTTATACAGAACTCACATACCCGCCTATAAGTATCCATAACGAATCCGTTTTCTCCTACGATGATATAGAAGCTGGGCTCCGGTCGCATGGTCTTCAAGGACTTTGCAGAGTCTCTGGTCAGACCAGCGTGTACCCAGACCCTGATGTTTGATGCTCCGAGCAACTCGTATAGGGTGCGGTCCACGTCTGCAGGAGAAGAAGGTTGAATAGCAAAACTCCTTTGTCTTGGGAGTCGGTTAAATATTATTGTTTACCTTAGTTGAAAAAAGGCGAATATAAATAAATAAATAAATAAATAAAAATGCCTTTCATTTCCAGTACTTAAAGTTTACATTTCTTATAATCTATTTAAGTGTTAGTTCATGTAATTTTAATATCTATGTTAGTATAATTTGTTTTTCTTTACTTAATTCTATGTATATCCTAATTTCTGTATTTTTAAAGCCGAATGTAATGTCACATCAAAATTATAAAACACCAAAATGTCAGAGTAATGGGTAAAAAATATTAAACTCGCGTCAGGACACGTGAACCTGATCGAAAATTCGTAAGACGGATGGAGAGTAGGCAGATGGCGTGGCGTAGGCCAGGGAGTATCCCCCTCTCTTTCTACAGCGCGGCGAAAATGTATGCCTGCGCCGGCTGTTTCGTTTAGGCGGCGACATACGTTTCGCAGCAGCCGGCTGCCCCGAAACCTGTAGCGGATTCGATCCCGCAGGGAGCAAATATTGTTGTGATCCACAAATTATTGTTTCAGGTCTGGGTGTGATGTGTATGTGAACTTGTATGTTTTTAAACGCAGGAGACAATTCTAGTGTGGGGCAACGTTAAACAAAAGAAATATAAACCAAAAAGGCCCCGAATTTCTGTGTTCCCAAGGGCCCCAATGTTGTCTAAGACGGCCCTGAAAACCTCCTCAAACAAAATAACCTACATTAAATAAAACCTCGCCCTCTTTCATCAGCCATAACTCACCACTCTCACTCTCCAGTATCAGAGCAGCATCAGTTGCGTTCCTGGACTCCAAGTAGCTATCCAATGCCTTCACCAGCTGCTGGGAGCCTAACAAAGTTCTCACCAATGGTATACCAGCTTCCGAAGCCAAATCTTCAGCCGTTTGCCATGGAGACCAGCTCAAATCTATGACCATGGATACTCCTTTTGATACGGCGGAGCATACTAAAAAGAATTATAAAAAATAGCTGAGTTAACAGTATATTTTATCACCTGGTTTAAGTGTGGGAGAGCCATGCTTCGGCACGAATGAGCCGGCTCGACCGGAGTGATACCACGGCCTCACAGAAGGCCGACGTGAAACAACGCTTGTATTTTTGTGTTTCATAGTGTGAGTGAGGTTACTGGTTGCTCAAATATCCACCCGCCATGGGGGTTCCTTTTGGGATTAGGAATTTGAGGATTGTAGGGGAAGGGGGTGAGGGCGTAATTGTGCCTCCGGGAACCTCACTCACACAACGAAACACAACGTAAGCATTGTTTCACGTCGGTCTTCTGCTCGGCAGTGGTATCACTCCGGTCGAGCCGGCCCATTCGTGCCGAATCATGGCTCTCCCACACTTAAATCACTCCACTCCTTCTGCTCGTACCTACCATAAAAAAAAGTTTAAAAAACACTTACAGATCCTACTGCTCTCTTCTTCATTTTCTCTATCAAGCAGAACGATGGCATCATCAAGTTTGACCTCAGGGCGTACAGTTTCAGATAACTTCAGAGCTCTCCCTATGTCACGGGTCAAATCCTGCTCTTGGGCCTCTATTATGAAAACTAAAATACAAACAGAAATATGACTGTTATGACTCGAATGACTAATATGACTATTGTGACATTCGTGACTGTTATGACTCATATGAATTTTATGGCTATTATAATTATTGTGACTGGATTCATGACTTAGGTGACATTTATGACTGTTATGACTCATATCACTATTATGACTGGTATAACTATAGTGACTGTTGTGTGTTATGACTATTCTGACTTTTGTAAGTATAATAATTTTATCGTAAATAGAAAATCTATTAGCTGATCGTTGAGTTACAAAAGCAACATAACCAAGGCGTTTCAGGTTTCATTACCAGTTCGGGTAAATCGTTAGAGGGCGTCCATAAATTACGTGAGGTGTTTTTTTAATTGTCTGTCCCTCCCTCCCCCCTTGGTGTGATTTCGTGAGATTTTATTCAACACTCCTCCCCCAACCCCCAATCTCACGTGGGATTTTTCTAAATGTTGGATTTTCACGTAAACGCGTTGGATTGTTAATTATAAAAAGAAAAAAAATATGTATAATTAAATCTTAAACATGTACAATCTGGAATTGGTACATGAACTAAAATAGTATATTTTTTTTGTTTTTATCAAAAAAAAATTACTAGTGGTATTTGCCGAGACCCCCCTCTATCCAAGGGGGGGGGGGGCTTTTTTTAAGGGGGAAAATCATCGAATGACTCCTCCCGCCTGGGTGAGGCGAGAGGGTGTGTCAGACTCTTACTGACTAAAAACCACCCCGTTCCTTCTCCTGCACGTCGAGCCGGAGCCCCGGTTAAACATCTCACGTAATTTATGGACGCCCCCTGAGCCCCTGACATACGACTTTTGTGATTTAATTACCTACTCATCTAATCATAGTAAAAAAAAATACTTACCAAATCGCAGACTCAACTCAGATAAAACACAGCCCACGTGAATAAAGAAAATCAACAAAAATAAATAATAAATTGACATTTTGATTTGATTTACATTTAAAATTATTTAATACTAATAATTGCAATTTTTACAATTACAAGTTCTTATTTTATTTATCAAAATAGCTGAAATATATTCTTGTAGTAAGTATGGGATAAAAAGAGCTAATAGAACGTAAAATATTATTCGTAATTTTTCAAACATTACTGAGCCGCCATTTTACATTATTACGAATGTATTTTTTTTTTATTTTTAGCTTTTTTTGTAGCTTAGCTATTTGTAATTTTATTTATTATATAGACTGGAATAGTAAAAATTACAGTTATCATTAAGTATTATTTTCTTTGTTTAAATTAGTGATGGAAAAAAGTACCACTATAATTCGTAATTTTAACTGTCAAACATTTTTTTAGGTTATAAATTTATTTTTTCGTATTTCAAAGCCAATGTTTGTCTGACTTGAACTTGACAATTTGACTGGATATTTAACTGCATTTACCGATACCCTAAGCTATGGTTAAGAGAATACTTAATGCAATATGATTGACGTGTAATTTGGTTACGAAGACAAATTATTCGTAAACAATAGAGAATATAGAATGTGTAGTTTCATATCTTTAAAGCCTTTGGTACATGTGCGTACAAACGGTGTCGAACAAGAAAATATGAACGATTATTTTTACCTATGGCATAGGTAATTAAGTTGTTATCTTGTTACCGGGATAATCAGTAGGTAGGTAACTAGGTATGAAAGCCACTGTCAACTATGAAGCTACAAACTGTCGCATATTCTATGTTGTGTATGTCCCTGCAACTATTTTCTACATATACAGTAAAATAATTGGTAATAATTAAATGTACACTAACCCAACTGTTTTGTGCTTTCAGCTACTAACAATTAAAAACTACCACAAATATAAATTTTAACGGTTCATTAAACTGCCGTCACCACTAGACACTGGCAGTATAGTCGACAAGATCGTTTTGGAGACTTGTTTGTCAAAGAAGCGAAAAAAAAATCTGTCGCATATTTGCCACCCAACGTGGGACTTATAGGTTCCTTTTCTAACATTTTATTATAGTAGTTTCTTAAATTATTTTAATGTCCGACCGGTACCGTACGATATATTCATTCGGTGTGACGTCACAGCGTTTTGTACTACATTTTGTAGCACGTTATGACGTAACGACCTCCCACTCCTAAACTCAACGCCATTTTATCTAAGTAGGTATTGCAACTTTACACGAGAAAATAAAAAAAATATATATGAGTAATATTTTTTCACCTACACCTCTTATTCAATGTACAAAGTATTTTTTATTTGTTTATATAAAAAAAGGATATATACAATCACAAAACTAAATAGTAACAGAAAGTAGGCAAATGTAATTAAAATTATGCTGGAGATGGGCAGCCCTAACGCATGTTTACGTACCGCGCGGCTGTAGGTATTAAACTCTGTCAAGCGACCGAGGTACAATATTCTATGATAATATTACCGTGATCCGGGCGTCGGAAAACGTGAGTTGATCTCCGGCCACCGTAAGCACGGGCCTGTGGACGGTGAGCACGGGTAGCTAAACGCCCGACCAGGGTGCTTACTCTTGAAACCAATCTCAATGTCAATGCAATTTCAATCCAATAAAATCTCAATAATTATTGAATGTCAAAACTATACAACCACAATCGTTGCTGTTGAAATAGTATTCAGAGTACGGAATATAAAGCCAAACTCAATACCATTTAGTTCATTCAATATCTACGCAATACGGATGCAATGAGCGCTAGTGTTGCAACTCAAGAGTACGAAATTTCACAATACCAATGTCGATCGATCGGAATTGGATTCAAGCGTACCTAAGCCACCAGAACCAACCCGAGCGTACGCGTACGGCGCATCGCGTTCCGCGCGCGCCTCAAAGAGCCATCAGACCACCACGGATGGGGCTCAATAGCGCTGATGCTGATAGCGGTTAAAAGGCTACCGTGGCTCCGGCTCGAAGTGCAGGAGCAAAAACCGGGTGTTTTTACCCTTAAAAAAATACTTTGTCAAACAGGCCCTACTTAAATAACATGACACTTCTCTACTCGACAGTCCATATCTATATATTATTCAGGTGTAACCGCTTCACATAATTCACTGTGATTTTATAAGCGTGGGACTTTGTACACGCGGTGTCGCACACACGACATGCTTAGAAGGTAAACTCAACCTAGTTTGTGTTCCTGGATTTACTTGTAACGGGTTTTTTTTAAGGGGGAAAATAATCGAATGACTGCTCCCGCCCGGGTGAGGCGGGTCAGACTCTTACTGACTAAAAACCACCCCGTTCCTTCTCCTGCACGTCGAGCCGGAGCCCCGGTTACCCGTTAAGTTCTCCGCGACACTTGTAACGGGTTAAGTATACCTACTTGAATTTTTATAATAACTACTAGGTACATTTTGTTCAACAAACAACAACAAATGTGGGAGGGCCCTGCTTCGGTACGAATGGGCTGACTAGACCGGAGTGATACCACCGCCGTTGGTTATTGTGTCCTGTGGCCAGTGAAAGGCCACTGTTTCTTTGTTCTGTTTGAGAGCAGCACAGCTGTCGCTAAATTAACTCGTCGAGTACCGTCATTATAAGACACAATTATAGAACAATAGGTTGCGGTCACCGGTGACCGCTTGGTGTTTGACAGTCTGCCTGGTTGACAGCCAAAAATATTCAATAACCCTCAGTCCATTGAAAAAAATAAAAGATGAAGAGTCCGTGAGTCACTGCAGGGTGCCATCTGAAAATCAGCGTTGGGCATGTACGCTCAACTTAATGCTGAGATGGAGGCCCTTTTGGCAAGGGCACGCACCGTTAAATGTAATTTATTTATTTATTTATATCTTGTTTTTATTAATTTTTAATTATTTTGTTAGTATTCATGA